CTGAAAAAGCTTTATTTCCTGCTCTGTAGGCAGCACGGAGTCTTTGGCTACATCGGTCGCGTTCATGTCTGTCTTCCAATCACAGGTAATAGATGTCAGAAGAAAGACCATCAGATACTTTGACTCGATGGGACAGAGAGGCCACAGTATCTGTGAGATGTTGCTGTAAGTAGATGCTTAATGGGTACCTAATTGCATTTCACATCCTCACAATGCATACCATACTCGCTGGAAAATGTGATTTGTGTAACACAACTTGCCCCTAAGGGACGAGAATCTCTTCCCTGTCTGGTCACGGCCAGTAATGTGCGAATTGTAACATCATCCAGCTGCTAATTCTATTCTGTCCTCCCTGGGACATTCGAGTTTTACAAATGAGCCATCGTTGAGGGACTTGTTAAAGCTCTTGTGCCAATAGAAAGATGATAAAGTCCATTCTTCTCTAAGCACATAACCTCCACCCTCTTCATAGGACCAAGAACCCTTCCTAAGAGAGATTTCATCCTCTTACCCGAGAGACACTCACTTCTGTGTTCTAGTTCTTCTGCTGTTTTTTTGCCAGTCTTAAGTAACTCACCAAGCATAATCCTCTCGCAAGCTCTATTGGGACTTTGGAGTTAATTTTTGTGTAACTAGTAATTTTTCTTTCAGTATGTTGGGTGAGTGTTTGTTTGGCACGGACTCTTGTGTAACACCCGTACTTGCTGGTTAACGTTGTGTTAAATAAAGTCACCCTGTACATCTCCTCCCCCCCCCAACTCTGCTGGAGATGGATTTCTGAGGTAAGGGTGAATCACTACCAATCTCTCGTGCACCTCACTTTTCCTGGCAGTACCTCCATATGAGACCCCAGTGCAGTAAAACGGAGTTCCTGTGATGTCTGTAACTTGTGATCCAAAAATCTCGAAAGTAATTTACCTAGGAACTAGTCACGTTACTTGTGGGTTTGCCTTTTACATAGTGTGATTCTATCCTGTAATTCTCCTTCCTGGTTCTTTGGGTCACTGGTGCATAATTAGCAAAGACCTTGTTATGCAGCTTTACAGACTGTTGGCCTAAAACATGCAGACTTTTGATTAGAAATGTCTGATGCCTCTTTTTTTGTTTTGTGTTGAACAGCCAATATCTGCAAGAAGAAAGCAAAACCAAGAGGAACCTAGATCTCGATCCTTTGGAGTGGACACTTTACAGCATGAAAGCACACGTATGTGAATAGTGTTTGTATTCCGTCCGTGTGCTGCCACCTAGGAGCACAGATACGTTCCAGAGAACCCATTCTAAGTTTTGGAGGGGTGTTCGTGGGCTTTCTCCAATGCCCAGGATGTATTGTGGAAACCGTGGACTCTCTCTAGCAGTGTCTTATTTGATTGGCCTTGTCCCACCTGCTGCTCTTCTGACCCTGTGTGGCTCTGGAAAAATGCTGGCAATCTGGAGTGGACAGGAGTCCTGGGAACAGCTACTTGGCTTTTTTCCTTTGGTCAATAGCTGGTGATGTCTCATTCAGCTGGTTTTAATACATCGATTTTTGGGTGCTAAATCGCTTCTGTTACATGCTGCTTGAGATACCTCTTTCCTGCTACAAAGACTGCTTCAAATTATCGCTCTTGTCCCGGGTCTTCTACAATAAATGTCTGGTCTGTTGTGTTCTGCGACTGGCTGTCTGCTGTGACCGTCCAGCGCTCGGTTGGGTTTGGAGGCAGCGGGGGGGAGGGGGGCGCAGGGGCGTAGTCTCTGGTAGCACACGTGTGAGCTCGCATTGCTCTGCCCCAGTTCTCCAAGCTTTCCAGGGCTTTGCGATCAGAGCGGCACTGAGGAGGCCTGTGGAGCTGTGAACTCCAGCTGCAGATGAATCGCTCTTGTAGCTTTGTTCTCGGGGTGGGAATTCATACAAGAATATAAGAACGGCCAGGCTGAGTCAGACCAACGGTCCGTCTAGCCCGGTGTCCTGTCTGCCCACAGTGGCCCATGCTAGGTGCCCCAGAGGGAGTGAACAGAACAGGGAACCATCAAGTGATCCCTCCCATCAATCATTCCCAACCTCTGACAAACAGCGGCCAGGGACCCCATCTCTACCCATCCTGGCTAATAGTCAGGGCTCAACAAACTGCGGCAAAAACCATTTGTCAGCCCCGCACTGCGCATGCGCGAACCACCAGTGAACGGGGCGACCGGCTGAAATCTACTTGCCACAGGTGAGTAGATAAGCAGATTTGTCGAGCCCTGCTAGTAGTCATTGATGGACCTAACCTCCATGAATTTATCTAGTTCTTTTCTGAACCCTGTTAAAGCCAGGTGCTCTAGGAAGGCAAAGATGTCTGAATACTTAATAGCTCAGCAGGACTCCCACAAAAGAGTTGTGGGGTAAAACGGTGCAGCAGCCCCAGGCCAACAGCCACATCCTCTGGCAAGGAGTTCCACAGGTTGATTGTGCGCTGAGTGAAGGCGTTGGGGGGAGCCATGACCGGGGCCTGGAAAGGGTGTGCTCTAAAGACTTGACCGCTGCAGGACCAGAAATGGCACCTGGGGCAGCTGGAATTACGTGCTTGGGGTGGTAAAGTAGATTTCCTGGCATGGAGGACCAGCACAAGCAGCTCATTAGAATGCTGCTGCCCAGTAGGAAAGACCATGCACTGCACTGTGTATCTCACAAGGATGGCAGCTTTCAAGTAAGGTGAAGGGACTAACATGCAACTTTCTCCCACTGCTTCTTCGCAGGAAATCCCACAGCAGCTGAATGGCAGTGACTGCGGGATGTTTACCTGTAAATATGCAGACTACATCTCCAGAGACAAACCCATCACCTTCACTCAGGTGAGACGCTCTGAAACTGACCTGTCGGTGCGTTTCCCTCCCGCCTGACTCCTCTAGTTACGCCCTAGGCTCATCTCGCTAGTTACGCCCACTTACCCCATGGGCCCTGATCGGGGCTAGGGCCTCCAGGGGCTGCTGTAGCCCTGATAAGTGGGCCCTTCAGCCCTGGGAGTTGCATTCCCTGCCTTTGCTTATGTCCATTTACCAGGCAGCATGTCTCAGTCCTTGGGAGGAGGGAGCTGGAGCTCATAAGAACAGCCAGACTGGGTCAGACCAAAGTCTGTCCAGCCCAGTATCCTGTCTGCCCACAGTGGCCAATGCCAGGTGTCCCCGGAGGGAGTGCACAGAACAGGGAATCAAGTGATTCTTCTCGTGTTACTGATTTCCAGCTGCTGATAGAGGCAAGGGACACCATTCCTGCCCATTCTGGTTAACGGCCATTAATGGGCTTAATCTCCATGAATCTATCTAGCACTTTTTTTGGAACCCTGCTTTTCACAACATCCTCTGGCAGGGAGTTCCAGAGGTTGACGGGTTCGTAGTCGTCACTTGACCTGAACAATGGCATCTTCAAGGCTCCTTTCCAGATTATCAATATTTTAACCTGTGCAGAAGCTGTTTTCAGTTGCACTGGGCTTCTTGTAAAGGACACGCTCATTCTCAGACACAACATTAGTGTGTTTCCATTCTAGTCAGCATTTTCTGCCCCTTGGGAGGGGAAAGCTGCGGTAGAATGCCATTGCATGGGAGCTATGGGGATGCTGCCTGGTAGGGTCGTGATTCGGTCTTGCCTGCAGAATGTGGACGAATACTTAGTGATCTCTTTCGCGCTGGCTGTGTTTAACGGAGAGTGTTTTTTCTTTTAGCACCACATGCCTCACTTCCGCAGAAAGATGGTCTGGGAGATACTCCATCAAAGGCTGCTGTGACCCTGGAGGGAGACGCTGGCCCAGTGATACTGTGAGCCACCTCAAAGTGGCGATTAGCCCTTGGCTTCACTAATTTGAGTGATACTGTGAGCCACGTCAAAGTGGCGATTAGCCCTTGGCTTCACTAATTTGTTTCAATGCCTTATGTCTAAGGCACCTGAGCTAACGGCTTCGTGTCCTCGGAGCGGACTGTCAGTTGTTGAATGACAGTTGTGTGGGACATGCCAACACGTCCTAGCCGCCCCACAAAGCTCTCACCCGGAGCTAAGACGCCGGAGGGCCTGGAGTGGGTGGTTCATCCCCGAGTCCCAACGAATGGCGCCGCTTCGGACTGGCAACTTCTCGTGCGTCACTGCTGCCAGTGGAACTGCAGCGCACTCTGGCTGGCGCATCTCAGGTCTGCTTCCCAGGCCCCGTGTGTTTAGCGACTGGGGCCAGAGGGGCCCGTTCTGCTGCTGGGCTTTAGAAGCCTCCCCTTAATTCCTAAACCCGGCTTTGGAGAGCCCCTAGGAATGAGGCACTTACGTTTTGATTTGTAACAAATCCATGGCGAAGCCCGTGGCCGGGGCTGTTTGTTTCAGGAGGTGTGAATGTATTTATTTTCTTTATTAAAATGGAAGTGTGCTGTAACGTACGCCCGGGCTCGGCTCTGGACTAGCCTGCGGGAGGAGAACCAGCTCACTCGAACTGCTGCTGGTACCTTGGGTGCATCATGTGCTTTGTGCCTGAGTTCCCCGTGTGTAGCGGGACACAAGCCTGCCTTTATTTCACGGGGGATAGTGAGCGCACAGTCGCGGCTGGTCACCGGAAGCGAATACTTGCATCTGTGTGTGTCCACACGGCCTGCCTTCCTCTTTGGCTGCTTTCCGGTCCCTCGGCAGCCCCCCTCGCAGCCCAACGCAGCCTGGGTGGAACCTTGGTCTTCCGACAGTCCCGTCACTCTTCCCCCAAGCTTCTTTGCACAGGCAGCTTATGTAGGCGGCCATGACGTGCGCCGTGGAAGGTGGATGTTCCTGCAGGAGGAAAGCGCGCTAGTTGCCTGGCAGTGATCTCTATTCAGGCAGGGTTATCAGGGAAAGTGAACTCTACCCAGCCCCTGCACTAGCATCATCTGGCTCATGGGCTTCCTGGGAATCCTCTGTCCTGTTTTCAAATGGCACTACAGCCGTGTGCAGACCAGGGCCTGCGGGGAGTGCTCAGAGCTCAACACACTTCTCCCCAAATCACCCCCATGCAGGCCAGGGTTAGCAGGCCCTTAATTTTGTTATTGGGACCCTGGCCCACCCGGTTGGTGCTGGGGTTCAAGGTAGGAGTTGCAGTAGCAGTCCCTAGGGTCTAAAATAAATGATACAGGGCAGTAGTGGTGGTGGCAGGGGGCCGGCTGCGTAGGAAATGATGACACCTGCTCTCATTTTGAAATGGTAATCGTAGAACCAATTACAGCCCAGAGCAGGGAGGCAGAAGTGCCACCCTAAATCGCTGCCAGTGGAGCTAGTTAGTTTTCACCCTGGGGCCTGCTGCCTTGTGCCAGCTCTGATGCATAGTGGGAGGGGAGTAGTACTAGCAGCCAAAGGGGGGGGGAGCTCCAGGGTCCCCCCACACCTCAGCTGGGCTTTCCTAGGGCCCCTCCCAGCAATGTGAACTGCACAACACAAGTAAGATCCTGCTCCACCCCCAAAGCCAGGGTGGGCAGGGCTCCCTCCACTAGCACTGCACCCTGCCACCTGCTGGGGGAGAGCTACAGGTCTACCCCCTTGCCGGCTGGCGAGCAGCAGCCCCATCTTGCTCAGCAGCACCACCGTGGTCTCAAGCCAGCTGGGACGAGCCCAGAAAGCAGCTGCAGGTGTTTTAAACCCCAGTGCATGCATGTGGGGGCCTGTGTGCTCTGGGCAGCCCAGGGAGGGGTGGGTGTGTGAGAGAGAGAGATGGCATCAGAATGGGCCTGAGCTGCAGGGCAGCTGCCCTGGCTAAGTGCCAGCCTCACCCTTTAGCACAGCTGTTCCCAAATGGGGTGGGGCCCACACTGGATCACATCCCCATTTTAATAGGGACACCCTAGGCCTTTCCCCCCAATGTGGTGGCCTGCTCCCACACATGCACCGGACTCTCCAAGGGCTGGACTTGGTGGGTGACAGGCCAGGTGCCCCCAGCAGATGCACCAGCGCCTGGCCGACTCCAACCCGCCCAGAGCCCGATTTTACATGAGCAACTTGTCTTGCTTGGCCAGAGCGACCCATGCTGACCAGCAGCTCCCCCAGCCCCCACAGGGGCCACGGTGATGAGCCAGGCAGACTAGGGCCCTGCCTAGCAGCTGCAGCACACTGGGGTCTGGGGAGGGCTCAGTGGCCTCCCTAAGGCCCAGCTGGGGAGTGGCGCATCATGTCCTGTGCCAGGCTGTAAGGCCTGCAGCGAGGTAGGGGCCAGGCGCTGCTCTGTCCTGGCAGGATTTGCATGGGGCTGGGGCTGCAGAGCAGCTGGCTCGGAAGGTGGGGTGAGAGCCGGCACAAGTCTGGCCCCAGGGCCATTCCTGTCATTTGGAGCCGCCTGGCTGGTCTAGCAACTTTGCGGGAGTCCCAGACCGCTCCCTCCCCTCCCATGTTGCCAAGGTTCCTCTGCCAGGGCAGGGCACGGGGGGTGCGGAGGACCTAGTGGGCGTGACTTGGCCCCTGTATTGCCCACCCAGACGGGGGTGGGAAATGAAAAGGAATACCACGGGCAGGCTCGTGTTAGCTGGATATATTTCTTTTTTCACAGAACACTGTTTGCAGTAGTCCCAGACCGCTCCCTCCCCTCCCATGTTGCCAAGGTTCCTCTGCCAGGGCAGGGCACGGGGGGTGCGGAGGACCTAGTGGGCGTGACTTGGCCCCTGTATTGCCCACCCAGACGGGGGTGGGAAATGAAAAGGAATACCACGGGCAGGCTCGTGTTAGCTGGATATATTTCTTTTTTCACAGAACACTGTTTGCAGTAGAGGAAACTGGCGTTGCAGTCTGTTGGTACAATGGTATGTTCACAGCAACCAGTCCATGGGCGTCCTTTAGCACAGAAAACTCCTGGCGTGTGCACTAGCAAAACCCCGGGGTGGTTCTTCGAGCCTTTCTGGCGCTGGGCGGGGTGGCAGCTTCAAGGTGTCTCCCAAGGAAAGGCTCTCGGCGGTCTCGATTTTTTTCCAACTCATTTTTATTAAAAAAATAAAAAAATGCTCCAACTATCAGTTTTACAAGGCATACAAAATCTCTAAAAGGGAAACACGAGGGCAAGGTGCTGAGGTACGAAAACACCTGAGGTAATG